TGACAGAGAAGGCTAAATAGCTCACAAAACTACAAATCCCAGAATTTTGTTGCATTGAGCCGCGGCAGTTAAAGTGTCGTCAGACTGCATGAATTGTGCAGTGCAGCTGCAGCCTTGTGGGAGCCAATGTGGTGTAATGGTTTGAGTGTTGGACTGCAACTCTGGAGACCAGGGTTCAATTCTCAGCTGAGTCATGAAACCTACTGGGTGACCTTGGACAAGTCACAATATCTCAGCCTCAGAGGAAGGCCATAAAAATCAAGCTAGCCTTAGTTTCCATGAAAAGCCTGGCCAGGCTGTGTGTGTGCAATTTGGTACAAGATCTCCAGACGGAGCAAAGAGGGATTAGGGAGACTCCCCTCTCCACACTATACACTATAATTTTTTCTCAATGGCAGTAAATGATCTGAATTGTTTAAAAAAATCCCTGTTCCAAATTGGTGGACCGAAGACTGGGCCTGGTCTGTGAGGGGAGCGCTTGCCCTTTCTTCGCCCGAGGCCTCCTGGAAGTATTTACTGCTTGCCCAGCATGGAAGAGGTTTTGCATGGGGTAGATAGAATGTCTCCTTTTCCACGCTGTAAATGTTGCCTCTTTCTCCGCCGCCGGCTGTTTCCCGCCACATTTTTCCTATTTTCACGCTCATTTCTCTTTACGCACCTCCAGTGACCCAGCACAGGCTGTAAACTTTAATCTCTGCTGGCACGAGGCTGCAGAGCAAGGGCAGATGTTCACTGAAGGCACTTGGGCTAGTTGTGTGATGGTGGGGTGCTGTGGAACAACAACCACAACCCCACACTTCCTTTGCCTTTCAGATTTCCCTTACATGGGGATGAGACCTTGCAATTGTGTGTGTTGGATGTGTCCAGGCCTTTTGAGCAGGATGTACTTAAGGGTTGTGTGTTTGAAAATGAGGGCATTGTCCCCTCAAAGAAGACTTTTGCCTCTCCAAATGAAATGTCCTTCTGTTTCCAAATTTCTAGCATTACAGTGACATTGTTGTATAGTAGTGTGAGTGCTGCACTATGGCTGTATCCACACTGTAGCAAGATCCAAGTTGATATCACTTTAACTGCCATGGCTCAATGCTATGGAATTCTGGAAATTGTAGTTTGTTGTGGCACCAGAGCCCTCTGATAGAGAATGCTAAAATATCTCACAAAACTATATTTCTCAGAATTCCATAGCACTGAGCAACGGTAGTTAAAGTGGCGTCGACCTGGATTGTTTCTGCAGTGCAGATGGAGCTCTGGAGAATAGTGTTTGAATTCTAGCTTGGCCATGAATCCTTCTGGGTGACTCTGGGTAAGTCACACTCTCTCAGCCTCAGAGGATGGCAATGACCAAACTCCTTCTGAAGAAACTTGCCAAGAAAATCCTGTGATAGGTTTGCCTTAGGGTTGCCATAAGTCAGAAATGACTTGAAGGCACACAACAACAACAAAGTAACATCTAACTTCAGTGGAGCGTTTGGACAGACAATTTTGGGCATCCAAAGAAAACGTGGCAGATGAAATTCTGTAAATTCAGTAAATATAAGAATTCTAAGTGTGAACAACTTTCAATTTTTCATTCTCTGCAATGGAAGAAGACTGCAGGACAATTTCATTGTGGTGGGCAGAATTCCATATCATCCAACTATCTTGATTTGGGAGGGACAGTCCTCATTAATCTGCTGTCATCCCACTTTTTCAGCTGCTTTTAAAATGTTCCACTATGTCCCGGCTCCCCCCACTGTCCCTCCTTCTCTTGGCTTACTTCAGTTGCTCCAAAGTGAGTTCAAAGTGCAAAAGTAGTTTGCCCTACTCAGGAGGAAGAGAGGGAGCCAAATCTTGCCCATCCCTGAGGCTAAGACAAAAGCAAACTTCTGTGGTCTCTCCTAGCTTGTCTGTTCTTCCTTATTAATAACTTTTACCATCTTGACCACACTCCGATGTTGCTTGACAACATCTGTCTCAGTTTTCTTCTGTGAAATCTTGGACGGTATGAATTCTTAAGGAGCCAGTGTAGTGTAGTGGTTTGAGTGTTGGACTATAACTCTGGCGACCAGGGTTTGAATCCCAGCTTGGCCATGTAAACTCAATGGATAACCTTGGGCAAGTCACATTCTCTCAGCCTCAGAGGTTGGCAATGGCAAACCTCCTCTGAAGAAACTTGCCAAGAAGACTCCACAACAGGGTCACCGTAAGTCAGAAACGACTTGAATAATAGAATCATAGAGTTGGAAGAGGTTACGAGGGCCATCCAGACCAACCCCCTGCATGTAGGAACTTACAATCAAAGCATTACATTATTGTTACTGTGAAAGCGTGTTGTTGTTGTTTTTGTTAACTGCCCTAAAGTCAACTTCAACCTATGGCGACCCTATGAATGAGAAACCTCCAAAGTCACTTTATCCTTCACTCCATGGTCAGTTCTTTGATTGAATCTATCCATCTGGAATCCAGTATTCCCACAACAACAAAAGTGGAATTCTTATTTGGGGGGAAATGCCCAGATCTCTCCCTCTCACCACTATACCTCTGCTCTTGAGAAAAATGAGATAAATAATTTCAAACACACTGCAATAGAAATAGTCAGAAAAAACTACAAAAGGGAGCCCTGGTGGTGCAGTAGTTGAATGCCGGTATTGTAGCCACTTTTAATCCCAGGGCTCCAAGGTTGACTCAGCCTTCCATCCTTTTGTAGGCTGGTAAAATGAGTACCCAGCTGGTTGGAGGCAATTGGCTTACAAAGAGTAAACCACTTAGAGAATGCTGAGTTCACTGACAAGTGGTATAGAAATGTAAATGCTATTGCTATTGCTACAAACTCCACCATAGATTCTCGTAGTTGCAGTCTGCCAAAAGTAAATTTTCCCATGCTTTTCAAGCAGCATAGGTCTCTTCTGACTTCTCCAGGTGGATTGGAGACTTTTACATGGATAGTCATGGGAGGATCAGGCTATTAAAATTTACAGTCATTATGAATATACTCCCTCCAGTACTAAGGACAAAATGCCTCTGAATATTAATTGCTTGGGTACAGAATATGCAGTTGCAGTCATGTGTTAGTTGTGGGGCATTTGGTTGTCCACTGTGGGAAATGAATGCTGATCTTGATTGATTTTTGATGTGATCCAGTGGGACTCTCCTAATGTAATTGAGCCTGATGTGTGGATTGGGACATAGCTATCTGTCAGATTTCACACTTCTCATAATGTTGAGGTATATTTCTCAGAGTTTTAATGGCCTAAGTATCCTAAAGACACCTGATCCAATCTGATCTTGGAATCTAAGCAAGGTTAGGCCTGGTACTTGGATGGGAGCTTGCCAACGAATACCAGATGGTAAAGGCTATATTTCAGAGGAAGGAACAGGCAAAACCTCCTCCCTTCTTAAGAAAACCCTTTAAAATTCATGCGGTCGCCGTAAGTCAACAGGTGACTTGAAGACACATATATACATACATATATTTCTCAGGTCAAAAACACACCAACATAGCTTTTAAAAACCAGTCTATTGGCATAAAATATCTTTAGTAATACATACTTTGACAGAAAATATGTCTAGGAATGTGCATTTAAAAATATATATCTGGAAATGTGCTTTGGCTTTTTGAGAGAAATCATTTTTAAAATTAGATGTAAATATATTTTAAAATATGCCCTTGAATATTAGTTGTTTTAAATATGTTTTAAAATTTTAAAAATATATTTAAATCCCTTTTAAATCAGGGGTACTGGAGAATTTCAGTCTATTAACATTTTAAAAAGAAAGTTGCTTGATTTGCACCTCCAGAACTAACACACTCCTCCAAATTTCCCAGTGCTGGTTTCAACTTAACAAAACATGATATTTTTTTACAATAAAATGCATATAAATCT